CAATGTTTTATCTTTATCTTAAGCAGGTGGTTCATGCTTGAATCCCTGCAATGTGGCTAATTAAAGCAATTCTGCAAGCATTCCTACACAGAAATATATATATATATATATATATATATATATATATATATATATATATATATATATATATATATATATATATATATAAAGAAGGTATATGTAAGGGGAGGGAATACTTTTCTGTGGCATTTATTTTTTCATAATTATTACTCTACCTAAATAAAAGTACTTAAATGAAAGGCTGGAATTTTTTTTATCTTTTATTGTAACATTCTATGACTAAAATAAAACTTCATTTACATTATTTAGTATTTATCAGCATCCAAGAACTTCCATTTCCATTCCATTTCAAGATAGGTGTTAGTCACACTCGTAGCTGGAGACATGTGAGAAATGCTAAACTAACAACAGCTCATAAAGCCTAATTATTTCCCCTTTTTTTATCTGTTTGTTTGGCTGTTGTTGTTGCTTTTTTTAAAATCTATAATCTTTAGCGTTGCTATAACGTTTTCATCCCATTGCTACCATCACTATGTTCCAAATAACAATTAGAAAAACAAAATTCTCTTCGTGCAAGCCGCTGTCCTGCTTTTTACGGTCCAAGCCTGTCCAGGAACCAGAGTCCATATTTAGTTTATAAACCAATCTGCTACCTGGATAGAACAGCAACCACTTTGCATTTTATAACTCTTTAAGGCAATGGGTAAAAATGCAACAGTAGTTCCTCTAAAAGCTGGACCAGCTCCTGCTTACATGTACACAGGTGCGATGTGTAATATTAATTTCCCAACTGATAGCTGTAATTAGATTTTGCATAATCACAAGCTAGCTTTAGAACATTTTATTGGTCATATATTTGTAAAACCTACTAAAGTTGGGATTGGGCTTGTGTTCTGAAATATCTGTTAAAATAACTCTGTAAGACCATAAGACCAGTTTGTTTTAGGTGTTTTTACCTGGCATCTGTGCTGTCGATAAGCTTCATGAGTTCTTTAAAATATTTAGGGGTTCTGACGATAACAGGCTCAGAGGAAGAAATAGACAAACTTGGATCATCCTTAGACTCCACCACAGCTTTCACAAACCCAAGCCAATCGAACTGGAAGCACAAGAGCATTGAAAGATTTGTTATTTGTGAAATATGTCCGGTGGTACTTTCAAAGAAAGCATTTTCTACAGGAACAATACATTAGTGGCATTATCAATGAAAAATACACAACTAATGGGAGATGCTGAGCCAGTTGCACTTTCTATGAGCGGAAAAAGAAAGAATGCAACTAAAACGAAATTACACTTAGATAATAAGAATGAAAGCAGCATTAATAGCAATTTTTAGAAAAGACATGTACAAAGAAAGAAGAACTACACCAAGTGTACTTTTAATGGCATACAATTAAAGGCATGTTTCTAAAGGTTTTTACACTCAATAATTAAATATTTGCCCCTATTTCTAACACTTCTTATTTGATATGCAAATGATTTGCACCAAATTATTTTTTGGTACATAATATTCTTTGATTTTTTTTTTTTTTTATTCTGTAAAAAAAAAATGTAATCTTGCAAGTGGACAACAAAATTAAGCGGCACCTGACAGTAATCTATTTTTCGGCTTTCGGATTTTTTACTGTAGTAAATGTACCTGTGGCATGGAGCGCTGCAATCGAGAAAGCGTGTATTTGTTGTACATGTTCTCACTGGTGCGGTTTTCATAGGGAATCAGAATCTGCACATACAACAAGAAAGACAAGTTAAACGAATAAAAAGCATTTGAATATAAAGTTGTTGTTTGTTTTTTTTTAACTGCAGGGTCTCCAGTACAATTTACATTTTAAATTGCTTTTCAATGAGGTCATACATCAAGTATTTTTGTTTTAATTGATCAGTTATTTCTTATTACATGAGCAATTTTGGACTCAAATTCAAGGGCTTTTTCCATCTGGGCCTGTGCTGCTTCTCTCGGGGCTCCCAACATGACAGCCACGTCCACCATCAGACTCAGCAATGCAGCTCGGTTCTGGAGAAAGAGACAAAGGCTGTAAGACTTACCAGGTGTGGATTGGTTTTCACCAGAACCTTACATATTTTTTCACAGGTAGATACCAAAATATTTGT